TCCGTATGCCATACGTCCTTGGCAGCGAAAGGGTTAAATGCCTGGTGACTGGAAAATGCATGTAAAAGACAACAAAAACACACCACAGTACATAAAAACATACATAAGACGTAAAGGGGTACGCAAGACACTACTTTTGAAAAATATATGCTGTTATTTTTTGTTTGCCAATTCTAACTACTCTATGGGTAGTACTCTGTAAGCTGCTGTCATAGGTTCTGGTTAGTTGCTTTGTCTTGTATCTATTGAACAAGCCCCAATTTTAAGTTTCCAACAGCTGATTTGCGAACATCGTAGCAGATAATAGACATTCATATATATTTCAGCTGTTCCATTATGGAAGCAGGTTAGCGTATCCGTTCATTTAAAGGAGTCCTGTTCCTTACGGTTATAACCATCTTTAAAGCTGTAGTTTAATCTGCTTATTTTCCCTTCCCTGGTTCCCCATCAACATTCTAATAAAATGCTTCTCGATAACAATGCAGGCAGATGATGTCTAGTAGGAGCCTCAGGGTATTGTCCATAGATTCCTGAAAACCGGAAGGTGTGGTAACACCCACATGTGATGCTGAGCCTCTGATTGCCAGAACTGAAATCCTATTGATGAAAGGGCAGGCCAGGCATAAAAAAAAAAGCTAGATGATGCTGGATGTCCTTCAGCCAGGAAATGAGGCAAGTTCTAGCTGACTTGCTGCAGCTTCTAATGGACGTTGTGAAAAGCTCCCAGTGTGCAGTGAAATCAATCTCCGTACAAAAAGGAGCCTGTACAACTGTACAAGACTGAAGGGAATGAAAGATAGAAGTTTAATCGATGCAGATATCAACATTCTAAATGTCTGTTTGCTTTGGAAATTTAGGGGGTGCTGGTTGTGTTCTGGGGAGGTGATTGGTACAGTACAGAGAGCTCAAACACGACTGATTACTGGCAATCCTAATGTTTGTTAGAATTTCTATAAAAAAATTAAAAAAAATGTTTGTCTCCACAGTTTATTATCCTGGTTGTGGATAGCACGGACAGAGAGCGCCTTTCTATCACAAGAGAAGAACTCTACAGAATGCTAGCTCACGAGGTATGGTATAAGCAGAGATGCACACTTTTCGTTGATACACATCACACGCCTGTAGTATGTATTATAAACACGACCCAAAGCCTGTTAAATCTGATATTCTTTCTGGATCACTCTGTAGTGTTTGAGGTTTACTACACGGTACATTCTGCTGATGCGTTACTTAAAGGTATAATTTAACTGGAGTATTGATTTCAAAGCTTGTGATCCCTTTCCATGCTGCCAATATGTGCTGCTGCTAAACCTTCACCGCTGGACACTTGAGCTGAAGTTTTTTCTTTTGACTAAGCAAATTGTAACCAACCAAATATCGCTGGCAGTCGCATACCCTGCGTTGTGAAAGACTGCTTGTATGACGGATATTAAAGGTTCACCAGCAGCAGTGTTCCTTGAACAGCTTATTAGGGAGTTTTTTTGTAGTTTACGATTTTGTAATGACAATTGTAACAATTTTGTGTAGTGAGGTTGGGAAATGGTGTAACATTTATGGCTTTGCAAGTCACAAGAGTTGCTGTCCTGCTGAATGAATGTCATGCATGGGAGGATGTTTGCGTATGGCTAAATTTAACTAGGCATATAAGCTCCAACAATTTGGTGTTGCTACTCTGGGACCAGGAATGGCAATTCTTCTATGCTATAATGCAACATTTTTAAGTGTGTGTGTGGGGGGGGGGCGGTATATTATGCCTGGAGGGTGTAATACTCCCTGTACTGTTAATGGGAAACGAGAGGTCATCTCCTGTAAAAGAGTTGAGATTGGAGTAAACAACACTTAGAATAAGTGCAGAGATGAAGCATGCCCACTGATAGTGTTAAAGTCAAAAGGATTTTAGGCTATTTTAAATTCCGATTAATTCACTTATAATGGATGCTGCTCCTTGATGTTTAAAAGCTTCCTGCATAATCAGCTGGTCTCATGGTTACAGGCTTGAACTAGTACATTTGGAAAATTGTACAGCAGCATTGAAACACTGTAGGCAGTAGTCTTGGATGGGACATGTAGGTACCGTATTTTTCGCTCCATAAGACACGCACCCCCCCCTCCCCAGAAGGCGGGGGAAAAGGTGTGTGCGTCTTATGGAGTTAATGCCTATCGCCCGACGCCCAGGCGTAGTTTTTTGTACATTTAGCCCTGCTAAAGCAGAGCTAAATGTACAGTAGGAGCCACTGCTCGTTTAATACGAGGAATCTAATCGGATCACTCGTATTAAAACCGAGTGGCGGCGATCGAGATCACCATAGAGCAGACGAAGAACGGACGTTCTTCGTCTGCTCTGTGTGATCACTGAGACCGTGGCGCTGTAATCACAGCGCCACCTGTCTCAGCGGTCACTAACTGCAGCTGTTGTCACTGAAGCTGTGACAGAAGCTACGGTCTGTTCAGTGCTCCATAAGGCGCAACGGACCTCCCTGCGTCCTATGGTAACGGTAAGTTAAATACCAATTGCAGCCATCACATTTTAAGCAGCTTAAAATTTTTTCCCCTCCTCCCTTTTAGGGCCGGTGGACACCTAGGCAATTTAATCGTGCGGTTTGTCGAGCAATATTGTGCAAAAACAGATTTACATTGAAGTCAATGGAGGCTGCTCACACCTTTGCTGTTTGTCACCCGACCAAAATCGCCTGTCGCATGAAAAGGGGAAGGAGCTTTTTTTTGGGCAGTTGTCACGCAGTTTGGGACCGATAGACATCTCTATGCATTGAAAAACGCGCGACAACCACGCATTTTACAATGAACAATCGCGCGGCAACAGCTCGGTGTTTGAATCGGCTAGGTGTGAACTTAGCCTTAAACCACATAGAAGTTGACTGTTGTAAGTGTCCTCCTTGGTACAGTAGTTTGTCCCTGTTGCTCTTGCTGGGCAGCTTGGTCTGCATATGAAGAATATAAAGGCCTGTGAGCTGGTATTTCATATACCGAATGTGATCATTGCAGGTATTGACTCCATACAGATACCGAATACAATAGTTTTCATTATAGTGGGCCTTCTAAACCCAGCTGTAACGTTGGGATTTGTGGCATTCTGGGTTCAGCTGTTTCTTTTTCCTGAAAACACAAAGCGCACAGCTCACCCCTATCGTGTGTCCCCGCAATCCACACTCTGTGCACGGATGACTCTCTTCTGGAGTGATAAGCACAAACTGTAGGACCAGCACACAATCTTCCAAATAAATTCAAACTTTATTCCACATGCATCTATACAAAGAACAACCGCTGACCCGTTTCTGCCTCACTCGGCCTTAGTCATAGCTGGTTGTGAACTAACATCAACCCCACTAAAATAGCATGCCGCACAGGGCAGGGAGGAACACTTAAAGCACCTGTATCTAATAAACAGTTCATGTGAATAAATTAAAAACAAGGCAGAGGAAAAGAGGGTACATATTTATTTTTCTTATTGTAAAGACATTTGTTTAGGAAATCTGCCGAAGTTTAACAAAGTTTGGGATGCAAAGCTGCACTGCTTTCTTTGTTAGCGCAGTGGCCTTTCTGCAGCAGTCCCATACTCACTGCTGACTCAGCAACTTTACTGATTGGAGGGCTTCGAGTCGAAATACAATGGAGTGTGTGGGCCCACTGTTCCCAAACAGCACAGCGGTTCTTGTCTTGGTACAAAGGTCACCCAATCAGTCTACTATGATTGGCATGTATTTGTAAAGACTTTAACATTGTACAGTGTGTTTAACACAACACTTTGATGTTCTTTTATTTCTAGGATCTACGGAAGGCTGCAGTTCTTATCTTTGCAAACAAGCAGGACATGAAGGGGTGCATGTCAGCAGCAGACATTTCTAAATACCTCACTCTTAGCGCCATAAAGGATCATCCGTGGCATATTCAGTCCTGCTGTGCCCTCACAGGAGAGGGGTATGTACAGTATAGAAGTTTTCTCTGCATATTAACCAGTCCCTGTTCATTCTGTATCTTAAAGCAGACCTTTTACCCAGACATTTAAAACCACACCTGCCTTTAGAAATGTTTAGTAATGACAATCTACAAACGCATACTTCTAGATAATTGCCGGCTTTGTGTTCTTTGCAATCCTTATTTCTCTTTTCTTCCCCAGTATTCTGACACTGGCCATGTTTACTAAGGGAAGGTTACGAGATCTACCTTTACTTCCTGGAATTCTGGCACATGTGACCATGCACATTATCTCAGGGGAGGAAAATGCCTTTCCCTGAGATCTCATGAGATTACAGATGAGATTTCCCAGCAATGCTCTGCTGATGTAACCTTCCCAGTATGCAATGCTTGGGCACATAACACCATTTGTGCTGAAGCAGGGAGTAGACTAACTCTCTATTTGTAAATAAATGAAAAACAAGTTTAACAAATGTAAGAGCTGCATGCTGATGTGATTTTTTTAGTAGAAAGGGGTAAAGGTCCGCTTTAAGAAATCTGTACCTACCTACACAAACCTAGCTTTGAGTGCTGGCTCACCAAGTGGTCTGACCTCCACTTCAAGCTTAATTGCACATGAAAGAAAGTAGCCCTACCCCGAGCATCTGTCAACGAGACACTAAACTTAGGAGTTAAATCTTAATGCATTCAAGTTCCCCATTAATAAAAATATATCTTAAGGTGCCCATACACCAGCCGATTATCATACGATAATCTTGGGAAATCCCACGATCGTGCGATAATCGGCAGGTGTATGGAAGGTGTACGGTCGCACGTCTTTTGTCTTACGAGCATGTTTGAAAACCCACCGAGAATCGTACGATTTTCGGCGGGTTTGTGGCCTGCTTTATTTGTGTATCACTCGGCTGTAGATCCTCAAATCATCTCTGAATTGGTGCCGACACTGTCCTTTCTGGAGGGGAGCTACTTTTGTTCTCCATGGTCCCTGTGTGTGTTGTAAAGTAGTCACCGCTCCAAGCTCACTCCCGGGATGGACTACAATCTCATGTTTAGTTTACTAATTTGTATTGATCTTGTAGTCTTATCACAGGACCGAGCTTGGAGCGGTGGCTACTTTACAACACACAAGGACCATGGGGAACCAGAGTAGCCACCCTCCAGAAGGAAGGACCGTGTCGGCACCAATTTAGATTTCATTTTAAGTATCTACAGGCAAGATAGTGATAGTTTAAGGTACCTGAATGCTTTTTAAGATTTAACTCCTGAGTTTAGTGTGACTTTAACAATTATTGATGCAGCCAATGCGCGGCAGACCCCCAGAACTGTGCACTGCCACATTTCACTTCTAATTAGCTTTTTCTATAAAAATCTTATGCATGAAATGCGTCAGCTGGTGGAGTATCGGTCCGCCGTGCATTGATTTAAATCTTAATGATAGCTTTTATCCTTTTCTTGTGCAATAAGGTGGAAGTGGAGGAAGGATTCCGGTTGGCTCTAAATGCCAGACAAGGTCTACTTTATAACTAGACTGAAAGGGGTTTGCTTTTCTTGATTTGAGGCCCCCCC